CTTGTTGATGTCTACTCTACTCATGATTGTACATGAATAGGACACAAGAATCTAATATAATTACTGCATCCACTGCCTGGGTGTTTATACACATGCTTTTCACATTTTAAATTAATTCTCTAAAAATTTTTTCCATCCTTAATGTCCTACAGATTTTACAATACCTCCCTAACTACCTTCTTTTATCTTTATTTCTGTCACTTGAAATGAAAAACAGAAACAAAAATTACAAATACTAAAATATTCCGTAAAGTCGCTGTTTTGTTGTCAAACATCTCTTCTGAAGTGTGGTTGATGTAACCTGTGTCTCTCTGCTGTGGAAAACTGACTTCCTCCCAGCAGTTGTCAACTGTGAATGGCTTCATTGATAAGATTGGGACTTAGTGCCCACTGCCACTACTCCATGGTTGGATTTTGTCTGACTTGTGTGAATGGAGGTCTTAATTGTTATAAATGTTGAAAACCAGGAGAGTTTCAGGGACCCTCCAGGCTTCACCAAGCCTCCCCCAGACTCCACCAGCTGCATCTCACATTGAACACCTGCAAACATAAAATTTCCTATCAAGAAATCATCACACATGTCCATTGTCCCTCATTAATGTCCACTCACACAGTCAGCATCTACTGCTCTCCATAAATTACCTTTTAAAAGAGCAACAAGGAAAATGCAACTCAGCCCCAAATCCATGCTAATCCCTGAGTGAAGTCTTGGCATCCACAGCTGAGCTCCTCTCTCTGAGCTGTAAGGTCAGGACTGGGCTGCTTTTCATGATCAGAGAGAGGGCCCATTTGCATGTCTTCCTGCTTTATGACAAGCTCCATCGTGGAGTCCTGAGGTGTCAGGTCCTGGGTTATTTGTTAATGTTCTGGAGGAATCTGATAATGAAGTTAATGTTGGGGAAATATTATTAAATTAGATAATTTTCAAATCATCTCCTATTATCCCTTTTTCTATAAAGACTCATTTTCATGTTCATTTCAACTCAATTCTCCAATTCTGGGATTAAGAGAGCAGTGACATTGCTTTGCAGTGCTCATTTTTTATGAAGTCAGCACTATTGTGTTGACCTCATCCCTGATGAACATAAAACTTCTAATATAGCTATAGCTTTGTGTAAAGCTGCTTCCTGAGGTTGGAAACTCCCTTTCTGTATGGAGGTCATGTGACATGCCTGAATTCCAGTGTTCAGCTAATCACATGTAAAAGTCTTTTCCAGATACTGTGTGTATTTCATGTGTTATTGTCTAATTCAGTTTTCCTTTGCTGCATGATTACTTATTTGACCCTAGAAATAGGGAGTGACTGTGGAGCTGAACTTCAAGGCAGAGCTCAGCATTTGACTTCTGTGTCTGCAGGTGGCCCTGTGAGAGGAGCAGACTGTGGCAACTGAAGTTCAGGAGTCAGGCCACCAAGAGGTGAATATTGGGGGATTGCATACCTGATACGAAAACCCTAGAGTCCACAGACTCCAGAATGTCTTTTGCCTTTGCTGTTCTGTTTCATTTTTGCTGCTGCTATCTTCCTCTGTTACCTGGCATGATGTGAATGGGTCTGGGGAGATCCCCACTGCCTGTAATATAGTGTGTTCTCATGTGGAAACATCCCATTTTACTGGACATTTCTACCTGTGCATTATTGTTAAGATAATTTCATCTTAACACATACTGTCTAATTGATAATAATAATAAAGTTAGTTTAAATTGACTAATGATGTTGAAAATTAATACAAGGGAGCTTCATACAGGGAGGGCCTATGAGTTTCACCTCCACAGCTGCATAAATTGTAGTTCTGGTTAATGAATAGGGAAAACACTTGAGTCCCTGGAAGCCAGGCTGTCTCAAATTCTTTCAATCTTATTGTTGAAAGATGCATTCACAGGTCTCTGTAAAAGATATTGGAATACTTATATCAGGAGATGCTATGAATTCACCCTTTCGTTTAAAGACTTCTCAACAGAAAGAAATCCTGCCTGGTGCTGGAAACCTACCCAGGGTTTCTCACATCATAGATTGTGGAGGAAAACATTCAACTGTCACTAATTAGCATGATTTCTAACTACACTCCACCTCTTTGTCTTCAAACTTACAAATATGTGTTGTTATCTCCACTCATCAAGAAAACTTGTCTTGGCCAAAGTTGGAGGCCATTACAGAAAACCACAGCAGATAAAATGCAGAGTTGTTAAGCCCAAGCTTCACCTGATGCATCTACAACCCATCTCCTACATCATAGGCATAGGAATTGTTGTAGAAGAGGAAGTAGAAAGAGTCTTTGCACCTTAGGAAGGGTAAGCCTGCTCTGAGATTGTGTCTCATAGACATATTGGAGAATAAACATCTATCATGTCTACCTGACAAGGCTAAACATGAGATAAACAAGAATGAAAACAGCAGACACACTAACATGAAAGGAGGACAGTTTAACAGGCCTCAGCTCTACTCAAAAATTTATAGACACTAAGAAGCCCAGAGCAGGAGAAACAGTCTTCAAGAGAATAGAGTATAACTGTAAGTTTTGTAAAACCATAAAAACCTGAAAATATATTACAGAAACTGAAGTTGAATTTCATTATTTAGAAATACAGAAATACACACACAGAGAGAGAGAGAGACAAATAGTAATAAATTAAAAAAGAAGCAATGAATTTGAAAGAAAACATGAGTCTCCCAAGGAACTTTGGTAAGGAGAAAAGTGAAGAGGAAAATGAGTATATTATAATCTAAAAAAGATCAAATTAATTGACAATGAAAACCAAACTCCTTGTTTCCTGAGATTCTTTAATTGTCAGATAGACATAAAAATAGTACAAAATGTATGAGTGTTTGCCTGGTAGGTACAAAACCACACCAGGAAAATTCCCTGTCATGGCACATGTATTACACCCTAGAATTCTGTGGTGGTTAGGTAGCATCAAGAACTATAAATACTGCTTGTATTTGCAACATTATTGAGGCAAGCCTGGGACCCTTGATGATGGTTACCCACAAAATATAATACAAAAATACCTCTAGAGACAACTGCACAAGAATATTACAAGAAGAGATGATTTTGAGCACAGGAAAAAAAATCTTCCACATCCAATACACCTGGTGCATAGGCTGTCTACCAATGTGTGCTCTACAGACATTGACAGACTTGGAACCTTGTTCAACCCTCAGCCACTAGGGAGCCAGGGACACAGTTCTCATCAGGTTGCTTCTTTTGAATCTTCTGTTTGTGCCTCCTCTCTGCTGTTCTTCTTCCTGCCCAGTCATGATCAGTCCACGACTGTCTGCCTGTGTTATTTTGGTAGTTCTCAGTCACGTGAAATTTTGAGAAGACTCAAAAATATTAAATTCAGTGTGTGTGATGATTGCCTTACAAGGCATTTCAAATCCCTCCTAACTGTGAGGAACTGAAGGTCCTAACTCCTCACAGGGTTTTTACCAACTCCCTACCCACCCACATTAAACTGTTCTGTGAATTAGAAAGAAAAACAGAAAACAAAAAAGGTAAACACAATATAATCCTTCAGTTCCTCAATCCTCACAGGGTTTTTACCAACTCCCTACCTACCCTCAGTAAAGTGTTCAGTCACTTAGAAAGAAAAACAGAAAACATAAAAGAAAATACAAAAAAATCCAAAGATGTCCATTTTGTGTTGTCACTTGCTTCCTGTCATGGGACCTCCCCTGAGTGTGGCTGATGTACCTGGTGTCACTCCACTGTAGAAGGTTGACGTCCTCACAGTGCTGTCCATTATGAATGTCTTCACAGATAAGAGGGTGCTGTGGTTTGCACTTCCACTCCTTCATGCTTGGACACTGTGTGGTTTTAGCTTCCATAGGTTTTGTTCATTCTGTCACCGATTCTGTGAGTTCACATGTGTTTCTGCCATGTTGTGTCTGGAAAACACGGATTCTTTTATGTTTTCTCCAACCTCTGGTTCTTAGAATCATTCTACCCACTCTTCTTCATAGGTTCCTGCATAGGAAGGTTTCTTAAATTTGTTCAGGGTTCTGTGGTTCTTACCCAAATGATCTGGCTCTGCAACTGATATAACAGATAGATACAATGTGATGTATGATGCAAATTGTGTGTTTGTGTCTCTCTCTGTGTGTCCGTGATTGTTTGTGTGTCTGTGTGTGTGTGTGTGCATGGACGTGCATGTGTGCCAGTGACTTTCTAGGTAAATAGATTCTTGCTTAAACTCATTTCTCATGAACTTTTCCTGATGGGCTTGTGTTATACAATTTTCCATGATGAACAGAGATGACAGTTATGGAGTAATGAACAGAGTTAGTTAAAAGCACAGCTGGGTCACATCTGAACTGAAGTGCACAGTCCTCAGGGAGAATAGAGAGGGGAGGTTCCAGACCTGCCAGGGTTGATGGCCTAATGATCTTTGCACAACCTTCCTCCTGGTTTTCCCTTAAACACACATTCATGAGTATTGTAATCAAGAAATCTGACCAAGGCTCTGCATAGATTAAGAAGAGACTCAGTAATGTCCATGGAATTCCTTATCCTGCGATTTCCATGACTATGTCTGGGTCCTTTGTGTCCTCTGAGCTGTCAGTTTGCATCTTGTGCATGGGGGACTGTGCCTCATTCTTAAAATAGTACAAGGAGAAGACGTGATGTATTGAGGACACTGTATCCATTCAGAGCACACGTGTAGAGAGAATTTCCCTGAAACAGCAAGGAAAAGTGGAGCCCAGACACCCAAGGAGATAGATCACTTCTGTATCATCTCCTGGACTGAATCTGTGTCTGTGTGTGCACTGCGCCCCCTGGTGGTCGTGAGCGGCCTCACGGTGAGGTTTATGTCTGGGTTCACACTTAAGTCTCATCATTGTGTAACTAGCACAGTAATAGGAGGCCGTGTCCTCAGTCTTTAGATTGTTCAATTGCAGGTACAGAGTGCTCTTGCCATTGTCTCTGGAGATGGTGAATCGGCCCTTCACCGATGGCACATACCTTTTGGCTCTGCTGTCTCCATTAATGTCTGCAACCCACTCCAGCCCCTTCCCTGGAGCTTGGCGAACCCATTTCATCCAGTTGCTAGTAAAGGTGAATACAGAGGCTACACAGGAGAGTGTCAGGGACCCCCCAGGCTGTACCAGGTCACCCCCAGAATACACCAGGTGCTGCTCGCACTGGACACCTGCAAACCCAGAGAATACTGTCAGTAAAATGCCACACAAGCTCCATCAAGCTCATATCCACTAACACACCCCGTATCTCATCTCCATTAATCACCTTTTAAAAGAGCAACAAGGAAAACCCAAATCAGCCCCAAATCCATGGTGTGAACTGTGTTCAGTGCTGATCCCTGAGTGTGAAGACCTGAGATTCCAGGGTTGGGCTCCTTTGTCTGAGCTTCAGGGTCAGCGCTGGACTAGTTATCATGGGAGGAGAGAGGCCTTATTTGCATGTCTTACTGCTCTATAACAAGTTCTGTAGTTAGTAATAAAAGATAGCATGTCACAGTATGTAGGGGAAGCTGTAGCCACGCCTACTTAGGCGCTGACTACAGGTGTGCCTGACCACGTTTGCAAGGGCGTGGTCAGGGTGACATAGAGTGAGACTTTCAGGGGACTGTGTTTCTCTTTCAGTTTCTCCTTGGTACTTGCTGGACAGACTGCTGCCATGCCAGCTGGCTAGGTCGCTCTGTAAGTAAGGCTTTTCCCTATTAAACACCCTTATATTTCTACTTTGCTCCATATTGGTAATTCCCCACTATATCTGGTTGTCAGGAGATGGATATTGGAAACCTACAGCCCATTTGGGACAGGCTGTGGGACCCGCCAGGCCTGGGGCCTAGGCCCGGAAAGCGCCCTCTATCCACAGGTGCTCCTGTCTAGCTGCCGAACCCGCTACAACTGAGCTGCTCCCAGCTCTGAGACTCCTACGGGTTTTCCACCATGCTCTCGGGACCAGCTTGGACTGTGGTTTACCCACGCCCAAAGGCCTCCAGCCCTTGAACCCAATAGGTATCGGCTCTAAGGAGGGTCTGTGCAGTGGTCTTAAAGCTGCTCCTCATTCAGTGGTTGTGCCGCAGGGCCATATACTCTCTAAGATAAGTGCAGCCACTTTTGTGACCTCTCTCCACAGCTGCCACCCAACACTGCCAAACGCCGCGGATTAACTGAACACCTGTGCCACCCACTGGTCAAAGATAGGTACTGCATCTGGAGTGAAAATCAGGTAAAATCATGCCAGAATATTTATCATTTGCTAAAATTGGTAATATTTTTGCTTATTAGGTGAATTCACTGTTTGAGGAGGATGCTAATTTGCCAATTACTGGCCTATATGCCGTGATGGCAGTTAGCTTGCTGGTACAAATAAAACCATTACCCAGAGTGCTCAGGAACAGGGACAGAGATAACCTCACCACCTGCTTGCAGGAAATAACAGCTTTATGCAATGAGGTTTTAGAGAACAGATTAGGTCAGACCACAATTGTGCAGCAAGTGGAACAGAAATTAGATGATAAGCTTGGCTCTGTGTCCAATATGCTAAAGACAGAGCAATTTTAGCAAATGATAAATATTCCACCATTTTACCTGATTTTTACTCCAGATGTAGTAACTATCTTTGACCAGCAGGTGGCAGAGGCGTTCAGCTACTCAGCATGGTGTTTGGCAGAGGTGTGTCATGCAAATTGGTGTCAGCCTTGGAGAGAGGTCACAAAAGTGGCTACTCTTATCTTAGAGAGTATACAGCCTTGTGGCCACAACCACTGAAAGAGATGCGCTTTACTGCAGATGCGGCCAGGGGAAGCCTCTGCTGTAAGCCAAGGCTACTCGACACTAGGCAGCTAGAAACTGTCTCCAAGCTGGGTAGATGGTTCTGAGCAGCTCAGCTGCAGTGGGGAGAGAGGGCACTTTCCCAGCCTAGTCTGCCGTCTGGGGGGGGATGAGGAGGACCATCAGGCTGTCCCAAATAGTGCCAAGATGCCGCTCCTGACACCAGATAAAGTGGGAAATTACCAATAAGGAGCCAAGTGGAAATATAAGGGTATATAATAGGGAAAAGCCTTACTTACAGAGCGACCTAGCCAGCCAGTGTGGCAGCAGTCTGTAGGCAAGCCGAAAAGGAAAGTGCCCATCCACTGAACACCTCCCACTCTAGGTCACCCTGACCATGCCCTGATTTTTGGTCTCTGATTCAATTATGTATCTCAAAATTGGAGAATATCTGCCATTGTCTCCAAGAGATTCCAAGATCATCACACATATCCCCCTCCAAAGGAAAATATCCTGGAAGGGATGAAACAGAGACAAAGTCAATGAGTTTGGGTGAAGGGGCGAGAGGGTCAGAGGTAGGGAAGGCAGGCGACAGACTCTTCTGAAGAGAGAAATTCATTTCTAACCAGGAACACTTATGTTGTGTTTCAGATGCCTTGTTCATGGAGGACGTAAAAGAGTGGTGTTCTGTCTTAATTCTGTGATATGATATGAGCTGCAATGAATATAGACATAATTACCCAATTTTTCATAGATGTACTTGATGTGCTCTGGTTCCAAGGCAAAAAAAGAAACATGAATGTAAATGTGGATTATGCAGCACAAAAAATAAAATGCAGGAATGCAGGAATTTAATTCAACAAAAGCTTATACAAATGTTGATTAACTCTCCCTGACAATAAGGGCTTACAATTAGAAAATATTACCGTAAAGTTGTATCAGAGTAACTCATGCACTCAGAACATTTCTCTGAACTACTTCATGACACTCAAAATTCCAGAACTCAGATATAGTCAACATGAGAGTTTATTTAATATATTGCCAATCAGTGCTGTAGGCATGTCTTGGGCTTCGACATGTGAGGTAAAAAGCACTTTAGAGAGAACACATGTTAGATAAAGTGTAATTACTATTTCATCCTTTAGAAATTCTCAAGCACTTGCATTGAAAATGATGGTACTGCTATGTGATTCCTGTGAGGAGAGCATGTTATATGTTGCAGATGTGAATCATGGGATTCAGGATCCGCACAGATTAGAGCAGCAAACAAACCTGCATTAGGTACTGTGTCAAGTCTGCTACCAGAGGCAGGATTTAATCTCTTGAGGTGCTAATGTCATCCAGCCAGGGGAAAGAAAGTTGATGTCTCATGAGAATTCATCAGCAATCTCCCCAGCGAGCTGAAATTCTGAAAATCTAACAGTGGACATGCGGTTTTTAATCACATAGTGAAAAGTCTGGGGTAAATCTGAACACGGGAATGGGAGCTATACACACACCTGGGACATCACCCCAGAGTGAAGGACACTCATTCCTTAAACATAAGACTGGAAAGAGGAAGCTGCTCACACATGAATGTCCAGGGTGCTGTGTCCTCAAGAGATGAAGGTGGCTTCAAACCCAGGGTGTTGAAGGGAACAGGGAACAGTGTGTAAATTCACAAGTTGGGTAGTGATACATGTAAGGTGTGAAAACTTCACTTTTCCACTTTCAGGATCTTAAATGTGCAAAGGAACAGTCTGTGATTAATTTACTTTCTTCTCTTTTCCCAAGTCTCTCTCTCTCTCTCTCTCTCTCTCTCTCTCTCTCTCTCTCTCTCTCTCTCGGGAGTATGTTTCCAATCCACTCAAGCCCGTGTCCAGGCTTCTGCCTCACCCAATTCATATAGGCAATGGGGAAGTCATTAGGGTCAGAATCCTTGCAGGTCACCTTTACTGCAGCTCCAGGAGCCCTCAGTTCAGAGGCAGACTGCTGCAGATGACCCTGGGAATGGATTCCTGGGAAGGAGAAACAGACTGGATGCCAATTTCACTTCACTGTCTCTCTCCCCCTTGGCCCTAAGACAGGGGATCCGCTTACCTATAGCTGCTGCCACAAGGTAGAGGATGATCCAGCTCCTGTCCATGCTGAAAACCTGTGTGCTCTGGACTGGGGGCAATGGGGTAATAGCCTGCTGCTGTAGGGCATGGGGACATTATTTACTTACAACCAGAACCTGCAATTTACATATTCATGAGGGAGGATAGTTATTAGATCAGAGCTGATCCTGTTTGAGAAAGATCAGAAAGACCTCCAGACCTCGATGCCTAACTTCTGTGTTAGACATTGAGGTCTGGAGGTCTGAGCTTCAAATGTGTCTGAAGAAGTCATTTTGTGCTCCATCCTGGCACTTGTTCACACAGAGCTCTTCCATCCCACTGAGAGTCAGTTCACCACATCCAGGTTTGTAATGCAGAAACACCATTTATTTAATGGTTCAAGGAGCACCTGAACCACCTTAGGGTCACCCATATATGTGATGAGAAGTCCACTGAGATCATGCTGGCCCAATAAGACACTAGCACAGAACATTGGAAACTGCATCTTTGCCATACCAGTGAGTGATCAGCAGGACTATGGACACCCCTGAAATCAGCTTGCAAGCCTTGGAACATTTTTTCCCAAAATGTTTCTCAGGGTCCCGAGGCTCACATTTATTTAATCTATGCTTATAAATGGTTTGTACCTCTACAATGGCAATAAGAATCCAATGTGGCATTTGGTGGGTTCACACACTGGTTCTGGTTAACAAAGAACCTCTCCACTGTAGAGCATGGAGATCTCACATGCCAACCACACAATGAGCTCTCCATGTATGATGTTGACAATGAAACCCACACAGTCCCTTGAAATCTCAGTGCACTTCTTCCTGCTCTATTTCTACTGCCCTTTACTTCTTAGGGATTGGTGGGTCTGCAGTGCCCTCTGCTGGTCTTAGGAACCTGTTTATGTAAGTTTGTCTGTAGTCTCACAGTCCTCTCATAATGGGACCTCTTTCTTTTCTTCATTGTCTGCCTGGTGATTGTGAGTGATAATTTGAGGACAAAAGGTAAGCTGTACTTGAATGTTTTCAAGTTCTTCATAAACCACAGTCGTTTCTTTAGGTGTTGTTGCACCTATCTGTATCAGTAGCCACTGATGAGGAAGTGAGCTAGCAGGAAAACTGATGGACACTGTTTACAAAGTCATTTCTCAACTCCTGGAGCTACCTTTGGAACACAACCCCTTACAAAACCAGGGAGAGGATGAATCACAGCTGCTATTTTTTACAGATCACTTCACACCTATACAAAGTGTTTTCATACTTGAGAAATAACCACAATTTGAGAAACTGTGGACTGTGATTCAATCTTCCTATTTGTTATTTCTATCATCAAGGCTGTATGTTTCCATGTAAAGACTTAAGAGGGATGGAGTGGTCTCTTTTGACATTAATTTTTCTGAATGGAAGATGCCATCTGTGTCTTTAGATATCTCTCTTCTCTCCCTGGATATAACACCCCTAAGGCCAGCC